GGGGCCGGGAAGGGCGGCGCCGGGGCCGCAGAAGTAGGCGTCGGGGCCGTAAGGGCAGCGCACGGTGGGCCAACAGGCAGCTCGAAAGGCCGCAAGGGCGGCGCGCAGAGCCGACGGGCGGCGCAAGGGGCCGCTAGGGCGGGGCGCGAGATCGACGGGCGGCGCGAGGGGCCGACGGGCGGTGCGAGGGGCCGCAAGGGCGGTGCGCGGGGCCGTAAAGGGCGGTGCGCGGGGCCGCAAGGGCGGTGCACGGGGCCGTAAGAGAGGCTCAAGGGGCCGTGAGAGGGGCCGCTAAGGGCGGCGCGACGGTAGTGAGGGCACGCGGGGCGCGATTCCGGCAGGAGCGAAGCGCGCTCCGGGCAGGAAAAAAAAAAAAATCGAGGTGGGCCCTAGAAAGCGTTCCCACTAGGGAACCTGCTCTGAAACCATGAGAAGAAACGAGGAATGATTGAACTATGAAACAGTTAGGTACAAGTACTAACCCTAATTGGCTTGTACCCCTTATGGGCTACCCCACTACAGCCTACACAAATGTATAAGCTATTATGTTCTGACATTCACCCACGTGTCACAAATTCGGAAAGTTAGAAAACCCTGCTTGACAAGATAGTCCTTGAGAGCACGACGTGCGTTGCCCATATCAGCTTCTGCAACCCAACTGTCCTCAGTGGGGTTGTATCCCTTCCAACGTATCAGAAACTCGAGGGTCTTGCCGTCGCGACGTCGATGAGAGAGAACGCGCTCGATCTCGTACTCGGGTTCATCCTGTATGAGAACAGGTGGTGGTGGCAGTAGCTGCCGTCCCTGGAACTGTTGGTTGGGGTTCTTGTAGGGCTTCAGTAGCTGGACATGAAAGCGTTGTGAAGCTTCCATGTATCTGGTAAGCACAAGCGGAATGTAACTGGCGTAACCTGTGCCTCAACGAGAAAAGGACCACAGAAGCGAGGCCGAAGTTTGGATGGGAGGTGAGACAGGTTCAAGTTGCGCGTGTCAAGAAGCACCTGATCTCCGACTACTACTGAGTGATCATGTCGCTGACGATCAGCATACTGCTTCTGGGAGGTCTGCATCGTGGTGAGTCGTCGCTGAGTCTTCTCCCATAGTTGCTGCATGGTGGTGACGAAGTCATGTGCGGCCTGGACGTGTGCCGGTGTGGTTGGCTGCTATGGTGTGAGTGGTTCCCGTCCGTAACACAGGAAGAAAGGACTTTTCCCTGTGGCCGCATGTGACGCGTTGTTGTAAGCGAACTCTAGGGTCGGTAACTTTTGTGTCCCAGTGGCTGACGTCGTCCTTGCAAGCTGTGCGCAGTAACTGTTCAACCACTTGATTGAGTCGCTCTGTCTGTCCATCAGTCTGTGGGTGGTATGCTGAGGACATCGCAAGTTTGGTCCCCAATAGTCCCATGAGCTCCTTCCAGAACTTACTCGTGAATTTGGGGTCTCAATCTGAGATGAGTGTAGCGGGGATGCCGTGGATGGTGATGATGCGGCCGAAGAAGAGGCGAGCAGTTGCTTCAGCTGTAGCTGTGGCGTTGGTCGGTATGAAGTGACCCATTTTAGAGAACTTATCGATGACTACAAGGATGGAATCATGTCCCCGTGAGGTCGAAGGAAGTCCTGTGATGAAGTCGAGGCTAACGACCTGCCATGGCTGCTCTGGTACAGGTAGAGGCTGAAGTAACCCTGCTTTTTTCTGCTTGCTGCTCTTCATCCGCTAGCAGGTGTCGCACGAGGTGACGAACTGCTGCACGTCTGTTGCCATTTGGGGCCAGTAGTAATACTTCGCTATTCCCGTTAACGTCTTGTTGCTCCCGAAATGTCCCGCGTATGGTACGTCGTGAAACTCCTCTAATAGGATCTTCCGTAGCGGGGCGTAATTCGGTACCCAAATCTTTCCTGAACCCTTCCTTACCGCTAGGTCTTTCTCCCACTGTAACTGCTTCTGTTTCTCTGCCGTTGCTATCTCGCCGTCCACGGAGCACCCATGCTGGAATAGACCCTTGAGCAAAGGGTTCATCCCGTCGAGTTGGATGCCTGCTACATGACCTGGGCGCCTCAACGCATATGCTTTGTTGTGTAGCCCGGGCTTGTAGATGATGTCGTAGTGGAAGTGAGTTTCCAGGAAGTCCATCCACCGCACCTGTCGTCGTGAGAGTGTTGGCTGTGACTTCAGGTATTTGAGGCTGCAGTGGTCAGTATAGACTGTAGTCTTGGCTCCTTCTAGATAGCACCCCCACGCTTTGAAGGCTACGACTATGGCTAAGGCTTCCTTGTCGTGAATGGGGTAGTTCAGTTCTGCTTCGTGCAGTTTTTTACTGAGGTAGGCGATAGGCTGTAAACCGTTCCCGTGATCCTGCATCAGTACTGCTCCGACTGCCTGGTCACTAGCATCTGCTTCAACCACGTAGTCCTTCTCGGGGTCCGGTAGGATGAGTACTGGGGCTGTGGTTAGTGCTGTCTGTAGCTGCTCCATGGCTTGCTGATGAGGAGGATCCCATTTGTAGGGCGTATCCATTTTCAGTAGGTCGATCAGTGGCGCTGCTATCTTAGCATACTGCGGCACGAACCTGTTGTAGTAGTTGGCGAAGCCTAGGAACTACTGTAACTCCTTCACGTTCTCCGGAACTTTCCACTTTTTAACGGCTTCGATCTTCCGCGGGTCCACGTGTACGCCCTCGGCACTCACCATGTGCCCGAGAAACTGCACCTTCTTCAGCCGCTCTTCGACATCTTCACGTAGAACTTGTTTTTCCGCAGGATCTCGAACACCTTCCGAAGATGCTCCACGTGCTCCTTCATGTTCTTGGAGTAGATGAGAATGTCGTCCAGGTACACCACCACGAATTCGTCCAACAGGGGTCGTAAGATGTGATTCATCTCCGCCTGGAACTTTGCTGGTGCGTTGCAGAGTCCGAACGGCGTCACCAAGTATTTGTAGGAGCCGTATCTGGTACGGAACGCTGTCTTGTGGACCGAGTTATCTGCCATCTTGATCTGCCAGTAACCCGACCGTAGGTCCAGCTTCGAAAAGACTGTTGCACCACGCAGTTGGTCCAATAGGTCGCCTATGCGCGGTATGGGGTATTTGTTTTTAACTGACTGTTTGTTCAGTGCGCGGTAGTCGATGCACATCCGTAAACTGCCGTCTGGTTTTGGAGTGAAGAGAACAGGTGCACCATAGGGAGAGGTGGATGGGCGGATCAGTTGTCTGTCCAGTAGATACTCTATCTGTTTCTTCATGTCTGTCAGTTCGGTCGGACTCAGTCGGTATGGTGCACGTGAGACGGGTTTCGCACCTGGTTCCTCTACGATCTCGTGCTCGTGGGTGCGTGCTAGAGGTACGCCTATCGGTAGGTCGTCGGGCATGCTGTCTTTGTACTGCTCCAACACCTTCTTCAGTGCTGCAGGTTGCTCTACGTTTGGCTTCTCCTCCTCTGCTGCTGCCATAACCACTGCTAAGTAACCCATGTTGATCTCGTTCACCGTCCGTTCGAACCGTGCAAGTGTCGTTTCAGGAACGCTCCCTGTATCCGTCCAACTTTGCAGCTCCACTCGTTTCCCGTTGTTGTAGATGCACGCCTTCCTGTTGACCGAGTCGATCTCGGGGTTGAACCGCTTCAAGAAATCTCGCCCCAAGATGAAATCTGATCCCTTGATGTTCGTGATCGGCAACGTCGGCTTCCACCTTAGCGCCCCTATGTGCAGCTGCAGTGATGCTTCGCCGTGGATGGGAAGTTTCGTACCGTCCACCATCGTTGCCGTGAAATTGGTCTCCTCCGAAGGTTCTCCAATTTTCTCCAACGTCCCGCGGTCGCACACCGAGTGAGACGCACCGCTGTCCACAAGTGCATGGAGGCGTCGCCCGTTGCAGATCACCTCGAGTAGTAGTGGTTGTTGCTGCTCCGAGTAACCGTAGATGGTCTCGCTTATAGGATCGTAGAGTACGTCGAATATATAATCTCTCGGTCCTGCGCTCGAAGCTGTTGACTCCATATCAGTTTCTAGCTGAGTAGGGGTAGAAGGATTTATCCAAGAGCGATTCAGCTTCATCTTGGCTTGGAACCTTCCCATAAGCCTTTGCAGCTGTGTAGGCTTCTCTTGTGGGCAATGAGTGTCAGATTTATATGACTTAGCTGCTGTAGGCTATAGTGGGGTAGCACATATGGGGTACAACTTACTAGCGTTTGTACTTGTACCCAACTTTCCCTTAGTCATTTCATTCTCGTTTCAGTTTTCTCATGGTATTGAGCAGGTTCCCTCGTGGGAACTGTTCCTAGGGCCCACCGTTTTTTTTTTTTTGCCCGGAGCGCACTCAGCTCCCCTCTCTCTCAGCCCCTAGCGGCCCTGTCGCGCCGCCCTTACGGCCCCGCCGCGTCGTCCCGCCCTTGCGGCCCCGTCGCGCCGCCTTCGCGACCCCGTCGCGTCGCGCCGCCCTCGCGGCCCCTTCGTGCCGCCCTCGCGGCCCCTTTGCGCCGCCATCGCAACCTCTTCGAGCCGCCCTCGCGGCTCCGTCGCCCCACCCTCGCGGCCCCGGCGCCGCTCTTACCGGCCCAGGCGCCGCCCCTACCGGCCCCGTCGCCCTACCCTAGCGACCCCGCAGCCCCACCCTCGCGGCGCCGGCCACCACCCTTCGTGGCCCCGCCGCCGCCCTTAACGACCTCGTCGCTGCCCCACCCGGCCCTGCTGCCGTCCCTTCAGCGGCTCTGCCGCCCTTCACGGCCCCGCCGTCACCACCGAGCCGCCGTTGCCACTGTGCCGCCGAGCCGCCGTTGCCGCCCAGCCGCCGAGCCGCCGTTGCCGCCGAGCCGCCGTAGCCGCCGAGCCGCCGTAGCCGCCGAGCCGCCGTTGCTGCCGTTGCCGCCGAGCCGCCCAAGCCGCTCTGTCCGCTCCGCCCGGTCACTGCCGTCGCGGCCCCGTTTTTGCCGACGAGCCTCGGCCCTTCTCACCTGCCCGGTAAGAGCAGCGCCTCTACCACTGCACTGCCCTTAGTCTACTGCTGTCATGGCTACCCCTAGTGTCCTCACTTTTGACGGTGAGGGTCGGGCCATTGACTTTGACGTCTGGGTAGATGACCTGCAGCTTTACCTACAGTGTGATAGGGCAAATGGTCTCTCCCTCTTTGCCTAACTTCTGGTGCCTCTCCTGCCCCTGCTGCTGATGCTGACGCCACTGTTCGCTCACAGTGGGCCACGCACGATGCTGCTGCACGTCTTGCTGTGCGTCGCCACTTGCCTACCTCTGAGCGTGCACACTTTAGCCAGAGTGCTAGGACCTTGTACGACGCTGTAGTTGCACGCTACTCTTCCCCTGCCACTGCTGCACTTAGCCGCCTCATCCTGCCGTACCTCTTCCCTGACCTCGCCGCTTTTCCCACAGTCGCTGACCTCATTACGCACCTTCGCACGAGTGACATTCGTTACCGCGCAGCCCTTCCCGCTGAGTTCTGCGCCAAGAACCCCCCACCTATGTACATCACCCTCTACTACATAGTCACCCGGCTCCCTGACACCCTTCGCCCAGTCAGGGACCACTTTCTCTCTGTTTGCCCCACCACTCTCACCATTGACCTCCTCGAGGAGCGCCTCCTAGCAGCAGAGAAGAGCATAGTCGCTGTAGGAGCCTCTCGTGGTGACCCTCGTGCCCCTGTCTTTGAGGGGTGCTCCCCCTCTCCTCTCTTGCCCTCTGTCTCCTCTGCTACTGCGGCCGACCTCGCTGGTCTTGAGTTGGTCGGTGCGGCGTCTGCCCCTAGCGGGAGACACCGCACTGGCAAGGGCAAGGGGGGCAAGGGCGCTAGAGGAGCTAGCGGGGGCGGTGGAGGCGGCGGAGGGGGTGGGGGTGGCGGTGGGGGTGGCGGAGGGGGTGGGGGCGTCGTTGGCGGCAGTGGAGGCGGAGGCGGCGGCGGCGGCGGTGGCGGTGGGAGCGGAGGTGGCAGAGATGGCGGCGGTGGAGGAGGCGGCGATGGAGGAGGTGGAGCTGGTCGGAGTGGCGCTGCGCAGAGGGTCGACGCCAGCAGCAGCACCAGCAGCGCGCTTGTGAGATCCCCTCCCCTCAGCAGCATCGTAAGTGGTACGCTGCACGCCCGCGGTGAAAAAGTGTGAACGAGAATTAATGAACTATGAATGAAGTGGGTACAAGTACTAACCCTAATTGGGTTGTACCCCCTATGGGATACCCCACTATAGCCTACACAACAGCATAAGCTATAATGTTTTGTCACACCCCCATAGGCAAAGTGGGGGAGAACAGGGGGTCACAAGACCAGTCAAGCAAAGCAAAGCAAAGCTTAGGGTGGATCACAAAGTCACCACACATTCCGAGCACAAGTTCAAGGCCACAAGGCTAGTTCACATGCAGAAGTACATATATATATAAGGCTAGACAAGCAAGAGCATATATATATATATATATATATATATATATATATATATGTAACAGTACAAGGAAGGTCAAGAGGTGAGCAAGTGAGGCAAGACAGGGACAAGACCCAGCTGAGTGCAGAAGCGCTGATGATCACAAGGTGGAAGTGCCTTGGTGAAAACATCAGCAGTGTTGGCCTCAGAGGCCACGTACGCAAGCCGCAACTATCCACTCTGCTGTAGCTCACGAGCAAGGAAGTAGCGGAGAGCAATGTGCTTTGTTCTGTGCTCTAGTCGCTGCTCTCAACACAAGGCCAGCATGGCCTTGTTGTCTACGTACAAAACAGGAGGAGAACGAGGCGGCTCCCCGAGGTCAGTCAGCAGGTAGGTGAGCCAGCGAAGCTCCTGTGTAGCCATGGCCCGAGCGTAGATCTCAGCCTCACAACTGGAGCCGAGAACAGAAGACGAGCGAGTAGCCCGCCACGAAACAGAGCCGGAACCAAGGCTGAAGGTGTAACCCTGTGACGACTGCTGCGTAGCCTGGTCGTCAACCCAAGAAGCGTCTGCGTGCCTTGTGAGGACCACTGGACTGCGCCCTCCAAGCACTAGCCCCATGCCCGACGTACTGCACAAGTAGCGCAACACCCTCTTCGCTGCAGCCATCTGCTCTGGTCGGTGTCTCCCAGAAGCAACATAGCGTGCGAGAATGCTAAGAGGGTATGCGAGGTCAGGTCGAGTGCAGGTAATCAGGTACATGAGGCAGCCAACAAGCTCTGGATACGGGCCACTCGACTCTACGGACTCATCCGAAGGTAGAGCTGAGAGTGAGTGGCGAGTAGGCAGAGGAGTGGCCTGGGGCGAGGAGTACGTGAAGCCGAAGCGCTGAAGGACCTGCTGCACCATGTGTGACTGAGTCAGGGTAATGGTGCGGCGTGCTCTGTCCCGAGTGATCTGCAAGCCAAGGTAGCTGCGCAGTTCACCCAGGTCGGTGCACGTGTGTCTCTTCTGCGGCTCGGACCTCACGTAGGCGAGTCCAGCGGTGTCAGCTGTGGCAAAGACCAAGTCGTCGACGTACACGAGGATGTAGAACGGCGGCAGAGAGGTGTCGGTGCGCAGAAACAGCGACCGGTCGGCAGTAGAAGGAGCAAACCCAAGGGCCGCAAGCGTAGTTCTCAGTGTGTCGTGCCACTCGCGCGGTGCCTGGCGGAGATCGTGTACTGGCCGCCGGAGGCTCCACTGGGTGCCACGAGGAAAAGACCCAGTGAAGCCAGGTGGGCGGCGCAGCCAGATCTCCTCGTGCAGGCTGCCCTGCAAGAAAGTTGTGCTGAAGTCAAGAGAGTGCAGCTCGTACTCACGGTGGGCAGCAACGTGCAGTAGTACCCAAAGAGTGGTCATCTTCGGGGTGGGAGAGAAGGTCTGAAAGTAGTCAACTCCCTGCCGCTGACTAAAGCCACGAGCCACGTACCGTGCCTTGAAGACAGACGGAGAGCCCGGCGGCTGCTTCACCCTGAAGATCCACATGCCACTGACGATGTTCGGCCCAGGCGGGGGAACCTCGTCAACGTAGGTGCCTGTGGACTTCCAGGAAGCCATATCTGTGTCCATAGCTGCCTGCCACTGAGAAGGGTAGGGACCCTCTATCGCCTCCGCGTAAGAGCGCGGAGTCGGGATGTCAAGTGCATCCGGGTCTCCCTCAGGGGTAAGCAGTACGGACACGAGATGAGGTGAAGCGGCTGCCAGACACTGGAACTTCTCCTGCCTGTCCTCAAGGTCGTCCGTGCCAAGGGCATACTCACCCCTGACGGACAGAGGACAGACAGACTCAGACTCAGCGACAAGACTAGCAGCGTAGTCTAGGCGACAGCGAGCAGCAAAGTCGACGAGCTCAGCAACTACGGCAGACGCAGCAGTGGACTCGAAAGAAGGGTCAGTGACGACAGTAGCAAAGAGACGCGTGACAGTAGGACTGGCAGCACAAAGAGAGTCCGACACCGGGTCGACAGGAGCAGGAAGGGAGGACTCAGGAGGAGAAGGCAAAGGGGCACGCAGAGGACCAGTGGACGGACGCAGAGACATCCGGTGCGTGCCAGGGATAGGAGGAGGACGCTGACGCAAACCACGACTACTAGTGCGAGCAGCACAAACAGGCGACGTAGGGCGATACGCAGGCTCACGACGCTCAGCAAGACATCCCGTAGGACCAGTGTAGGGAGAAGGAGCAGGCAAAGGGGAGGCAGGCTGCAACTGTAACTGTGACGGGACAGGCTGTGGACAATCTAAAGAAGGAGGAGGACCAAAAGAAGGCGGAAGACCAAGAACCTGCTGCAGGAGTGGAACGAAGTACGGTCGAGGCCGCGCGGCGATGCCAGACGGAGCAGGGACAACACCAGTACCCCGAGCAGGAGCACCCGCTCCAGCAGCACCTCAAGCAGCTCCAGAACCTCCAGCAGCACCAGTAGCACCCCCAGCAGGACCGCCAGCAGTAGTCTCAGCGCCAACTCCCTCAGCAGCACCAGCTCCTGTCGAACCCGCAGGCCCAGCAGCTCCAGTACTCCCAGTACGAGCACCTCCGGGACCTGTGACACCAGCACCCTCAACAGCCGAACAACCTCCAGCTCCAGTAGCACGGCTCCAGCGCCGGGCAAACCACTCGCGAAGCTCCTGTGGAGAGAGTGGCTCCCGGCGAGACGAAGCACCCGGAGGACCTCCAGGCGTAGAACCTCCAAGCTCAGCACCCCCAGACTCAGCACCCCCAGGTGTAGCACTCCCAGGCACAGCACCCCCAGACGTAGCACCCCTAGGCGTAGTACCCCCAGGCACAGCACCCCTAGGCTCAGCACCCCCAGTCTCAGCACCCCCAGGCTCAGCACCCCTAGGCTCAGCACCCACACGCTCAGCACCCCCAGTCTCAGCACCCTTAGCAGCACCAGAGTCACCAGAGACCTCGACAGGCTCGACTGCGTCTACCTGGGACACATTTGAAGGGGCAGGACCCTGAGGGGGGAGGGGGTCTACCGGGGGGGGACCTGGTACAAGGAAGAGTGGGGGCGGGGGGAGGGACGGAGTGCGGTAGGGGAAGAGGCGGTAGTAGGGGACCGACTCGTCAAACGTGACGTCCTGGAAGGACAGAACACGGCGAGAAGTGGGGTGGTAGAACTGCCACCCAGGCGCGTCAGGGGGGAACCCGAGGAAGACGCAAGGAGTAGCACGAGGGGACAGGTTGTCCGTAGACAAGTCGCGGACAAACGCCCGAGATCCCCAGACCCGGAACGCCGACGCATCGCCAACCTTCCCCGTCCACAGCAAGGCTGGGGAGGTCTCCGGCCTGGAGACCTTGGGGTGGAGATTGATCTGATGCGTTGCGTACCTCACCGCAAACAGAGACAGAAAATAGGGGGCAGCCGCATGCATCATGGACGTACGAGCGACGTCCATGACCATGCCAATGTGGCGCTCAGCGATCCCATTTTGCTGTGGAGAGTCCGGAAGCGTGAAGGTCTGACGGATGCCTCGTGCGCGACAGTAGGCTCTCAGAAGGCCAGAGGAAAACGTGTTCATGCCCATAGCCTTTTCATTTAATGAGGACTCTCGTATAGTCTTGCGGCCACGTTGTCGATCACGATACAAAAGCACTCGTTCAACTTCATAGTACAGTTCCTCCCCTAGGACGATTGTTGGTGGTGGTAAGTACTTGCCTTCTGCAACGTACTTGCTTAACAGAGACACATGGAAGACATTGTGAATCTACAGGGTATTAGGTAGCTTGAGCTTGTAAGCTACCGTACCAACTCGTTGAATCACCTTAAAGGGCCCAATCCAGCGAGGGAACAACTTTCTCGCACCAGGGATCTTAAGCCGAATATTCTTCGTGCTTAACAAAACTTTGCCTCCAAAGGAGAACAAGATTTCCCGACGTTTCATATCGGCATAGGATTTTTGCCTTTGTTGGGCTAATTGCAACCAACGACGTGCCGACTTTAGGTCCTCCCATTGCTTGCCCACAAAATCATTTGCGGTAGGTAATTTCAAACCGCCGATCCCATGCATTGCAGGTGTTGTGGGGTGCTGACCACAGTCCAGGATAAATGGTTTTTCATGTGTGCTATCATGCACTGAGTTGTTAACTGCAAACTCGACCATGGGTAACAACTCGTCCCAATTGTCCTGTGTTGGTCTTATGAAAGAACGAAGCATCTGCTCAAGAGTGCGGTTAGTCCGATCCGTTTGCCCATCTGTCTGGGGATGGAACGCTATCTTAAGCTTCATTCCTAGTGCCTCGGTTACTTCACGCCAGAATCAGCTCGTGAAGCGCGGGTCGCGATCAGACACTAATACACGTGGTAATCCGTGTAGGCGGAACACATGTGTCACGAACAACCGAGCAGTATCTTCTGCTGACACGTCTGTTGTCGTGGGTACAAAGTGCACCATTTTTAAAAGGCGATCTACAAAGACAAGTATCGCCGTATACCCATCACGGGTTCTTGGGAGGCTGGTGATGAAATCCAGTGAAACGCTTTCCGAAGGTTCACTCGGAATTTCAAGTGGTTGAAGCAAACCACCAGGCTTCTGTGTGTCTGGTTTGTTACGTGCGCACGTGTCACAACGTGCCACGAACTGTTGGACATCACTACCGACTCCTGGCCACCAATACACATCTCGTAGGGCCCATCGGGTCTTATTCATGCCCAAGTGTCCCCCATATTTAGTGGCATGCACCTCTTCCAAAATATCGTTCCGCA